GTTTTATCATTGTTATCATTGTAACTATTATTATTATTATTATCATTATCAGAATTTGTATAATTATTATCAGTATTATTAGTATTGTCAGTTTCTTTGTAGTATTTATTACTATTAGAGTCTTTCTGATTTAATTCATTATTATATTTCCTAAAATCTTATTTCTATTTTAATTTTTAATTTTTAAAGAAAGTGCTGTTATATTTCCTTTTTTATCAGTAATGTTCTCAATTATTAAATCTCATTATTTTATAGCGAATTAACCATATTTATCAGATCATCTTCATTTATAGTGAATTAAACATATTTATCAGATCATCTTTATTTTGTAACAAATTGATCATATTTATCAGATCATCTTCATTTTATAATGAGTTGACTATATTCATCAGATTATTTTCATTCATAATACAATAGCTGTATTTGTAGTAATACTTTAATTTATTGAACATATTAAATATTTATTTTTGATTCTCAAATCAAATAAATTCTATTGCATTTATTACAAAAACATTTTACTTGATTTCTTGTTCTAGAACGTATTTTAATACTCAACATATTTTTTGTAATTTTTAGCTTGAAATAAAATAAAAAATCAATAAAAATCAATCAAACTTTATTTTTTCTATAACTAATGCAGAAAATCAATTAAAATTTATTTATTATAATCAATATAAAATAATTATTATAATTTAATAATAATTAATTTAACCAAAAGGTTATTTTTTTAGAAGCTTATTTTAAAAATTAATGTTTAAAATAAACTTTGTAAGATATTATTTAAACTTCTAATTTATATATATATAGATACATTACTCTCAGAAAAGTATCCGGTCAGCTAAAAAAAATATTTATTTAATATTTTAAATGTAAATTTTTAAAATAATTGAAATCGTCAAAATTAAAAGATGTTTAATTTTTTTTATAATTTATCTAAGTGTAATATCACCATCTTTATGCATAGAATTTGGTTATCTAAATCTTTTAGCATTTGATATATTCTTAGAATTAACATATTGTATAATACATCTGTAACTGTATTTTTTAAAAACTTTAAAATATGTATAATTAAAGCTCTGAACAGTTCAGATTAATCTGAAGATTTTTTAAGTCAGTTCAGTTTAGATCAATTTTAGATTGCATAAAAATCAATCCAAAAATTTTCAGTTTAGTTCAGATTTTTTTTAGATTATAATTTTAATCTGAACTGAAAAAATCTGAACTGAACTGATAACTTCAGATTAATCTAAAAGTTCAGTTTAATTATATGTAAAATTCTTAAAAGATCATAAAATTTAGCAAAACTATTAGAGAATCGCAATTTTTTGTGATTTCTCTTCGAATTTCACAAAAAAATTGCAAAAATCTTAGAGAATAGCAATTTTTTGCGATTTCTCTTAGAATTTCATAAAATATTGCGAAACTTTTGAAAAGTCACAAAAAATTGCAATTTCTCTTCAAATTTTGCAAAAAAATTGCAAAACCCTTGGAGAATCACAATTTTTGCAATTTTTCTTAGTATTTTGCAAAAAATATTGTGAAATTCTTAGAGAATCGCAAAAAATTGCGATTTTCCTAGAGTTTTGCATATAAATTACAGATTTCTTATATAATCAAACTGTAATTTCAGATTAATCTGAAAATTCCAGTTCAGATTTTTACCAGTTTGCGGTTCAGTTCAGATTCAGATTGGCATTTTTAAGATTAATAATCTGAACTGAACTGAACTGAAATTTTCAGTTCAGATACGGATTAGTATCTAATCTGAACTGAACTAAACCATTTAGAGCTTTACATATAATAGCCTTATAAGTTCTTTCTGCTAATCTTAAACTGACAATTTATCTATATTCAAAGTTATTTAATTAGTAATTTTTTCTCATATTAAATGGCCTAATTTTTAAAAAGGTGAAATTAAAATTGTTTTATATTTTTGTATATTAAACCTGATCTATACATTATATAATACATCATTATCAAAATCAGAGGGTTATTTAAAAAAATTTTATTTAGTAATATGTTTGATCTTGAGAAATTTAAAAAAAGCTTGACCAGATACTTTTCTAAGAGTAATGTATATATGTCACATTTTGTTTTAAACTTAGAATTTTTTATTAACTAAAATTTAATTAATTTATTAGTTTAAAATTTAACTACAAAATTCTCATATAATTATACAATAGAGGTATTCAAGTGATATATAATAATAAAATTCTGCTTTCTTTTATTGATATTTATTTAGCAACATTTTTATTTTCTTATAATAATTCAAAAATGGAATAATTTAATTAAATATGTATCACTTTATCTTTATTCTTTGATAATATTTAAAATATATAGCAAACTCCTTTATGAGGTAGACATTCTTCTTATTTAATATCAGTACGTTTATATTCACAAAATCCTACATTTAGTGATCAAAATTTGAATTTTTATGAAGGTACATTATATTTGAAGTTTAATTACAATTAATATATTTAATATATGAAATTTTTAATCATTATTAAGAATATATTTAAAGATTAAAAAAAGGAATAATAAAGATTTAAGAACAAGTACAAATTGGATTTAGATGTTTTTCAGATGAAATATATTCTTTAAATTTCTCTGCCTAATCTTCACAATAAATTTCTAATTTAAAAAGAAAATCCATTAAACATTATTGTTGAAAAAGATGATGAAGTTGATAATTTTAATGAACAAGATGATAATATTGAAGAGATTATTCTTATATAAAAAGATTTCTTTTCTGACAGTAGAAGAGAATACAAAAATAGTAAATTGTAGGAAAAGACACAAAAATAATTTGTTGAAAAAAAATTAAAAGAAATAAGAGTTTGATTTTTTATTATTATGCTTATGCAATTTTATTATGAAACTGTTAAATTTATTATTTATTACATTTATGCAATAATAATTTTATAAAATGAAATAAAAATTCTTGTTGCATAATATAAAATTTAATAAATTTCTGATTGATTATATGAAGAAATTTAAAGAAATAGTCTTACAACTTGAATGAAATTGATTTCTTGTATTTAAAAAAATTTTAAACATAAATTTCAAATAATATTAAATTAATCTGAGATGTATTGAGTGATCATTATAAGAATGGTCATCAAAAATGAAAGAATACACAATTTAATGATAACTAAAAAAAGAAAAAGAGATACATAGATTTTGAAACAAACTGTTTATTTGAAGTAATTTTTGATTTTTTTTTAAAATATTCTCAAAAATGTCTAGAAAATAATGTTTTCTTACCTAATTATAGAAATACGAATAAAATTAAAAGAAACCTTGTTTATAGCAAATAATTCAAAGTATTAAAAAATATTAAAGGGATATAACATAGAGGATATAATAAGATATTAAGTAAAAATAACTATCATTTTCCAAAAGAGAGTGATCCTAAAAATGATCCTAATGCTTTCATGAAATGCAAAGAACTTTTAGTTTATAAATTACTGTGAAGAACTGATAAAGTAAGTCAAAATTTTTAATTTAATTTGTTAAATTAATTTATTAATTTACTATTTTAATTTGTTAATTTTAATTGAATGTTTTGTTAGTTAATTAATTTTTACATATCATTAACAAGTATATCAAAAAGAATTTTTCAGAAAATAAGAAAGTATGATTCTAAGTATTTAAAAATGAAGATTAGAAAAAGGGGCTTTTACATACTATTTAGTAGGTTATTAAAAAAAGAGGTTCTCTGTCACCACTTTTTAGATAAAATGAATTATGATCAAATTATGATGATGATGAGTATCTGTATTTGTAATAATTTATATAGACTTTTAGTAAAATTCAAAATGACTTTTTTATAAAAAAATTTATAGATTCTCAATTACAATAGGAAATAGTAACATCATATACTAATGCTCAAAAGCATGATTTAACTAAACAAATTTCATATAATTAAAAATTTTTATTGAAAATTCAGAATTTAATATAACTTTTGTAATATTATAAGTAGATGATTTATCACAAGCATAATAACTATCATTACAAAATAATTATCCTAGAAACAATCAAATCAAGACAATTAAATATAAAGTATTTGTATTTATTTATTATTTATTTATTTATTTATGTTCTCATTTTTATGATAAAGGTTTACTAGTTCTAAAAAAGAAATCAGTTATATATTTTTCTTTATAACAAATAAAACCGTTTTATGAGAGTAGTTCATTCATTCATTCATTCAATCTTTGGTTTTTGATTTTTTTTTTTTTTTAAAAAAAAATGGATATCTAGAAAAAAAGGCCAGTTCTTATGAAAAATCAAAAGTATATTTAAAGTAACCTGAAAGTGATCAAGCTAATTTTGTTGATTGTAGCAATATCAGAATATGATGATATATATATTATATATAATTTATATTAAGGTTTTAATTAAATTTGGTTATTTTTTTATTTTAAAAATTTAAATATTTATGTTAATTGAATTAGAACTATGATTAAACATTTAAAAGGTCAATCTACCAGTTTTCTATCTAGATATGTTTTGGGTCAAGCGATTTTATTAGAATTTCGAAATAACCATTTATTAATTTGATAATTAATATAATAGTAAGGAATTACTAAAAAAAAAAAATCTATATAATAATAATTTATTTTGACTCAAAATATTTATCCTCCCTTTCTAACTGTAATAAGCTTTGCGCAAAAACCACCCTTTCTATAATCTTTGGCATATAACGAATTGGAGCTCGGAAGAATTCATCGTCATTTTATCATTTATTTCTTTCTCTGTTATCATTTTTTAATACGAAGATGGATTTTTTTTGACCAAAACAACAAAAAAGGTGCTTTCAAATAGGATCTGTTTCCATTGACGTGCAGAATTTTTTTTATACATCCAATGTCTGCCAATAATGTAATTTGCAGATCGTTACGTATTTTGTCAAATACTGTATATATATTCCGATCGATAATTTTTTTTTAATTTTTTTAATTTTTTTTATTTACTTTTATAGCAAAACACCTCTTTAAATGTCTAAGTCATTACCTATAATAACGATTAATAATAATAATGTTGATACCACTAGTACACAATCAAAGCCACCTTCAAAGGCTCGTCATATTGCAAAATACCCTGGTAAAAAGAAGAGATCTGAACGAAAAATAACGGCCAGACTACCCAGATTACCAAGACAACTTAATAGTGGTGGATCTAGTGCAGATGAATACGGTAAGACTTGGACTCTTTCTTTTTTGACCTTTGTTTGCTCCTGAATTCACGCTAAAAAGTAAATTTCTATGTTTGTCACTGCTTGTAATAAATTTTTATGTACGTTTAACCTCGCACAGAAAAACGCGACTTATGATGTGATTTATTTTTAATTTATTCAGATATTACACTACATAATGATATGATGAATCAAAATCAAAACATACCGATATATCTTTCGCCAGCGGAGTCTTCTTCATCTACCCCTTCAACCTTAACATCAAAACCTCGATATTTTCTATTAAATAATAATAACGCATCAATGCCGGATCTTTCAACAAAATCATCAACGCAAAGTAGCAAAAATTATGGCAGTATCAATTCTTTTGGACGTTTAAAAAAATTACAATCAAGAAAATCAAGGACTAGAAATTTAACGACACAACTAAAAAACGGTAATAATAATAATGACGGATATTTTAGTGAAGACAGTATTTTATTATCACCACCCGTATCTGTGGTTAATAAATTTAAGTTTCCCTCTTCAAAAACAATATCAACAAGAACATTATCATCATCTGCTAAACCTTCTACCAAAAGTGTTGTTACTAATGCGTCAACCCCAATGATATTTCGTAGAAGGCGTAAACTCAATAATTCATTAAAAAAGAAGAAACAAAAATCTTTTAATATAAAATCACCTTCATTTTTAGCATTTTATCTACAATCGTCATCAAATAATAAATCAAATTTACAATCATTTCCTTATGAACAAATGACTAGTATAATACCAAAATCTCCTTCTTTATCTTCTAATGCTTTCGATGATAGACTTTCTATACAAATGAATTTGGAAAGTGTTCAAAAATTTATTGATTTACCATTAATTTTTGTTTTTGAAAATTTAACGATAAAGAATGATATTAATGATTTTTTACTTTTAAAAATCGAAAACTTTATTCTATACTATCATATCATTGATGATAATAACGATAAAGAAGATCAAACTTGGTGTATAGAACGTTTCGGATGTGGTAGCAATGATGAAGGTTTTAATGATATTGAAGGAGAAAAAGAAATTTTTGATGGAGAAAGAGTAGTGAATAAAAATAAAAAAGATTTAAAATTATTTAAAGATGATGTGTTTGATAGGTTTAAAGGTGTTGAATATAAAGAACTTTGTTCTGTTGATGAAATATTGTTTGAAGACGATATACATCTGTTAACAAGGAATGAATCTGGTTAGTAGGGTGTATTTTCGTTTCTGAGATAATAATTTTTTTTTTTTTTTTTTTTTGTCCATGATTTTAACGATATATATATATATATATTGTTATGATCATATAGACGCAAATCTGAATATATTTGAGATTCAAGCGAAACAAGAAACTTTAATTCTCGGAACTTATTCCTTGGATGAAAAAAGAAGGTTTTTAAATTCTATACGTTTCTTCACTGATACAAAGAAATATTCCGGTAATTTTTTTTTCTTATTAAACCAAAGGAAACTCCTTATTATTTTCTTAATTCTGACGAATTTGATATTGTTTCAATTTTACGTACGTTGATCATGTTAGAGATGTTGAAATATTATTCGAGAGAACAATTACCTATAATTACGGTGCAATCATCAGATTCTGAATCGGATGAAGATGAAGAAGTTGATAGTGATGATGAAGAAATTGATACCATGGATAATGTTGATTTAATTGAAGAATTAGTAACTCGTTGTAATCAATATGAAGTCAAGATTATCACTTTACGCGTAAGTTTAATTTTTTATTTTAAATTTGAACCAAAAAAAAAGTAAAGAGTACGTATTCATCATTCGATAATTCAATAGGATACAATTGTACACAAATCAAGGGAACTTGTTTCAAGCATACGTAAATTTCGAGAGTTGGACAGACTTGCAAAGGTGAGGTTGAAACAAGGATGATATTCGAAACAATTTTTTTTTTTTTAAAAAAAAAATCGATAAATTATTTCTTAATTAGGAATTGGATGAAAGCATTTCGGTGACTAAATCCAGATCAACAAAAGAAATGGAAGAAACTATTAATGTGGCAGATCAAACTACTCAAGGAATAGCGGATAGATTAAATTTAATTCGAACAAGGATTCGTGATAAAAGTGAAAGGTTAAAGCAACATCAACAACTTGTACGTAATTTTATAAATTGGTCGTTCCATTTTTTTACATCCTTCATTTATACATTTTCTCGCTTGCGCATGTTTTATTGAATCTTTATAATTTCTTTTTTAGTTGACAACTTTGAAAATTCAAGTTGAATTAGAAAAAAGATCTTCTAATATTCCTGCTATATTTAGAATGGTGTTAGGAGGTATGATTATATTATAATCAAAAAGATTGAGGAATTTTCTCGAATTATTTTCATATAACTGATTCTTCCATTTTCTACGTAGTTTTTACCTTGATTATGATAAGTGTTTCAGCACTTGCGGTTAAAAGGTGGGTTATTAATATTTAGGCTAGGATTTATCAATTCAAATTTAAAAGCGGACAATATATGTTATTCTTTTCATTTAATAAATTTCATTAAACAAACTTTGTAATTAAAAACCCATTAAATCCAATTTATGATCCATCATAAAACTTATCATATCTTGATATTCTGTATTTTTTATGTTCGTGATATCTTAAAATACAGAAATACTTCGAAATTTGGGATGCATTTGAATAAAAATTCAAGTATAAAAAAAAAAACATAAGCCATGATATTATTTATTAACTCCTAATAAAAAAAAAATTTAATGATACAACTTTCTGAAGGAATCTATTTACGAGTTGCTTAATATTGCAAAACGCATATGATATGTAATATTTGAGATTCCACATTAATACTATGTTTATTTAATAATCAGAGGATAATTTCTCACATTCATTTCCGAAGGCCAAATGATACCTTCGTATTGAAAGTTTACGGTTATTAGTAACTTCAAAAAAATGAGCAGGAAAAAAAAATTTTTTTTTCTATATGTACACATTCGCCCAAAGGACTTTTTTAAAAAAATTTTCTTGGACATTACGTCTAAGGAATTAAAGATGATTGATGTAACTTTAAGGGTTAACTCGTAAAAAAAATTTATAAAAATGATATTTATTTGAGAAGCTTAGTCGTTGCTTTCGTCCCAGGAAGTGCTCCAGGCGTGATAAAGAATATTTGGAAGCTGAAGGATATCCATCCTCCTCTTATGCCCACTACGTAACTTTCTAAATTGCTGGCTTACAATACAACTTCGTGCAACACCTTCTGGAGAAACAAAGTCAACCGCGGCTTTGACACAGCTTGTGTAATTGCAAACTTGATGTGCACATCCTGCGGGAATAAAAACGGCATCGCCAGGGTTTTGGTACACTCTGATAATAAATGATGTTAATCACAAAAAAATATTTTTCAGAAAGATACATAAAAAAGGAAATTTATTGTTAACCTCCATCCTGTAACTCCTTCTTCCGCGGTCAATCGTTCTCTCAATTCTTTGTCCAAATAAAAAAATTGGTCATGTATAGGATGGCAAATATACAATCCTCGTTCATTAGCAATTTTTCTTAAGAATCTTCTTAATCTTGGAAGTTCGGCTGAATGGTACAAATCCCATACTGCTGCTGCTGGTTTATCTCGCTCATTTTCTAGGCGTTTTTCAACTATAGGAGCATATGACATCAAATTAACTGCATCTGTTATATCAAGGTGAAGGTTAGTAGTACCTTTACCACCTATATCTTCTTCGGAACCATAAGCATTGTACATCTTTGGACCAAGATCAGGACGATTGATCTCTAATGGTAATCTGTGAGCTAAATTCAAGACACCGCCACGAGTCGTATATTCTTTAAATGGCAAACTATTAGAGAAGTCCTTATAGTGTTCTGGAAACGTCACTGCGAAGTCATCTTTTGGTGGCCAGTCCTTTTTAACACAAATAGGTAAATATATAGTCACTAATCTAAAAATTTTGTTTTAAAACAAATTCAAATCATACATTAAATATACCTTTAATTTTAAGCAGGGATGTTTTCCATGATCATTTATAAATCGTTCGTTAAAATCCTCAAAACCTTTAAAGAATGTGTTGACATTCATTTTATATTCGACATTCTCTTTGACATCAATTACTCTACAAACAGTTTCCCCGTAATGCTCAATAAAGTATTCTGGTTTCCAAATATCCTCGTTTAATCTATCTACGCCTTTGATCACGAAAGGGTATCCTTTCCTCCAGAGGTCTCTAAAAATTTCTTCGGTCATTTCATTAGCTTCATATTCAGTCTTTTTATGCTCATTATGTATTCGCGTGGAAATATTATTATCATATCCAGTCTTTTTTTGCTCATCATTTTCTTGGGCGGAAATATTGTTATCTGCGGCAGAAACCTGTGCATGGACTGTTCGGAATCTTCGCGAAGTCTTCTGGCGGCGTTGAGAAGCGGCTCTTGAGCTTTCAACGACAGATACATCGTCGGACAATTCACCGTCATCTAAATCTATACTATCCTCATCGTCGAGAATCATCTGATTACATTGATCAATGAGACGAAGAATTTCTTCTTTTGGATAATGATACATTGGTACCAGCTGTTCTTTATAATGCGGCCTCTTATGAGAACATTTTCCGATTTCATTAGAAAATTCATTGACATCGCTCCATTCCTCATGACAGGAAAGGCAATATTCCCTTCCACAAACACAGCACATCCAATATCCGCTAAATATTGTTGTTTGACAACCGTCGCATAATTGACAGATTTTGCGATGTGGTACTTTGCGGTATTTTGCCACCTTAAAATGTGGAATTTCTTTTTGAAGGTATTTAATGAATGTTGGTGCGATCAAATCTATATGAAAAAAAAGTTACATGTTGAATACTTTTTTTGCAAGATATTTATGCAAATGATAATAGATTTTCGATGTTTACTTGCCAAGAATGCGAACGTTCTTAACTTCGTCATCGTTTACTTCAGTCTCATAGGTTGAGGACGGGTCGGGGTCTGTCATCGAAATAAAGTCGGGGCCGTATATTAACATATTATCTTCTTCCAGCTCGAACACTCGTATACCGTTGAATCTGCATAAATCAGTTTGTTTGGCTAAACCTAATTGATTATAAGAATACAATTTAAATTTAAATGAAATAATTGATATTAGATAACTAACATGATTTCTTGATTTCTATATTATACTTACATGCAGTACATCTTTCAAAACTTTTGTATCTTACTGAGAAACAACGTCCTTGTTGAACGTGCTTCTTACCATGCACCGGACGTACCGTAATTAAATCGGCTTTCATGACCGTTGATAATTTCATCTGTCGATGTTCAATTTCATTACCGTCAACTTTAAGGTTCAGATCGCGCATAGAATCCGTGAACTCTGAAACCTTCATTTTTTTTGGTTGCTTGACGGATACGTTAGAAGATTTTCTCTTATCACCAGTTGTTGTAGGCTCTTCGTTTCTTGTGGTTTTCTTTGGCTTTACCCTTTTTTTTCGCCTTCTAGTAATAGACTGAGTAGGAGTGTAAAACTTTGTTGCCTTCCTTGTTCGACGCGGCCTCTTTGAAATTTCAAAAGTATCAGATACAGTTATATCAGGTTGAGTTGTGTTAATGGGGTCGATTCCTTGATCACCTTGGTCAGACATGTTGACTGAGAAAAAAAGCATTTTAATAAAATAGGTAAGGTAAAATTATACATATATGCGAGTTTATTAAAATTTCAAGACAAATTATAAACATTTATAGCGTTAAATCATATTTAATTCGTTTGAAGGCAGAAGATAAACGAAAATTACGATTTGACACGTTATTTTTTTTTTAAAATTAACCTTTTAAAAATGTAATTTCAAAGTTTTCGCGATAATAGAAAGTTTCCCTCTTCACCTTTCTTTTACCAAAAGAACTAGATGTCGTAAATTTCTTATAAATATTTGAAAAGTAAGATAAATTTATAATTTGAAGAGAAGCTTGTGATTGAATTTGTGAAAAGCGTATGGAAGTGGGAGAAAGAGTATCTTTGAAAATGTCTGGATCCGTTGTTAACTAAATTTAGAAACTTTCACGATCACGTTATACAATTTATCCAACCAAAACTTTTTCCCAAAAACATTTCAACGGATTTGAACTTTTTTTTTTTTATCATTTGCCACGTATAAGAAGAAGCCATCGAAGTTTACATTTATGTATAAAGACTGTTCTCCATCAATATCGCTATGGCTGTGTAGGGTTTGGAAACTGTAGTTTGATCAAAAATTTGATGACAACGGATGAAAATACCCGGGTACATATTGATTTATTTATAAAATAAACTTTACGGGTATTTTTGATACTAAGCATAAGGAATAATTATGTTTGATCTATTGACGAAGCCCAAAAAGTATGATATCATAAAACTGAAGCTGCAGTTTATTATTATCAACAGAACTCATGTTAGACGCCTCTCTGTCAGAAATGAAGAAAGTATTGCTATAAAACATTAATATTATTTACCATTTTTGAATTTTAAAAAATAAAAAATGTCTTAAGATCAGAAGTCATTGTAAAGAACATGTTATAATTACAAAGTAAATTATCCTACTTTACATCTAATAGAAGTGCTTTAAAAGTGAGAATAACTAAAAAAAATTATAAAGGCATTGGTATGTCCAAGTAAAATTAAAGATTATTACATATTATAAAAATAATGAATTTAATATTTGCGAAACATTGTAAAAAATTTAATATCTAACCAAAACAGAGATTAAAATATTTTATTTGATTGGATTACTAAGCAATGACAATTAAAATTTTTGTTAATAACTATAAAGTATTATCATTTTCACAAAATACAAATCTTTTAAAACTTATCTACACCTACAATAAATTACTGAAAATTTGATTGATAGCTTATTATATTTAGAAATCAAAAAATATCTTTTTGTTTTCTTTTTGAAAGTAAATGTGATTGCTAATTTTATACATAAAAAGTCAATGTTTTTGTAGATTCTTTTCAGTTCAAAAAATGTGTGACAAAGAACTAATTACAGTCCTCCCTTATAATCACACCACTCGGGACCATCAAATGGTGTGATTGTATGGAGGTATGCTTATAACAAGGTTTTTTGCTATAATCACATATATATAAAACTATCGAAATGGTGTGATTATAAATTTTTTTAGTTATATGTTATCTTAAAAAAAAAATTAAAAAAATTTAAATTTATTCAATTTATGAGGAAACATGATATAAAAATTTACATAATAAATATAATTACAATTAGATTATAATGTGCAGATTTTATTTTCTTTGTGATGAATATTAATTGGAATTGTTAAGTAAAATTGAAAAATTTTTACTATAAATAAATGTGTTTACTATGAATAAAATAAATAATATTATTTATTAGTAAAAGTTCATCCATAAATACCAAATTTTTCAAAATCATTTTAAAAATATATTAAGGTATAAATAAATGGTAAGGTAATTGAAAATATTTATACAGAAAGGTATAAGAGTTTTGTTAGTAAATGAACCTATGTCTAATCAATAATAATTTGGTAAAAAAAACTTACATTATAATCATCATCAAGTGAAATTTTCTGGAATTTTTCAGGATTTTTGATATTATTTATAATGTCTGAATGTGATTCATATAAAATTATAAATGTTTCTTCTAGTTGATCTTTATAATAATAACAAATTCATTTAATTTTTTAATTAATAAAGATTTAATAAATGCATATATAAATTAATACTTATTAATCTAAGATTCTCTTCTAATTAAACAAAAACTTGTTCATTTTGAGAAAACCTTTTATCATATGCATAATTAACTTGATTTATTTTATCTTGAATTTTTATTAAATATAAATTAGCTAGTTATGAAAATATAAAACTGATCAAGCTTTTAATTTTACTTTAAGTATTCTTTTAAAGTTATTTTTTTCTTTTTACGTTAATTAATCTTTTAATATATTTTTAATATTTTAGATTCACTTTTTTGTCATTATTAATTTTTAATTTCCTATTTTTCTTTTTTGCATTCAATAAAGCTTAAATAATTTTTTTAGAAAAATAAAACTTTATCTATAATAGCATGATTATATATCTTCTATAAATGTGAAATTATCAAATTAAATTCTTTTGAACTTATTTATTATATCGTATACATGTTTTTTTAAAAGAGATACTATATTATTATCAAACTGAATCATCTTAAACTTTGAAAATTATTTAAAGATAACTGATATATAAGGTTACTAGACAAAACCTAAAGGTTTATAAGTCATCTAAATAGAAAAAGATAAAATTTAGTGAAATTATATTAAACTTTATTAAAAAATCTACAAAATTCTAGAAAAGGTAAAACTATATCAAAGCTTATAAAAATGTGAAACTATATCAAAACATTAGTAAAGATTTAGTAAAACTATAGTTTAGACATTTTGTTAAATCTAAAATGAGTTTAGATAAGCAATCTTACTGATATGTAATCACTAGTATTTACAAAAAATAATAAAAATTAGTTATTCAATTACAATCATATTATTCTAGATATTTTTTACCATTTAAAATTGTTTCTAAATAAACTTAGTTCTATATATAAGCATTTATAATAAAAAGGAAGGAAATTATTAAAAAAATTTTTTAAGTTAATATTAAATATAATTTTATTATCTGAAGTTTTATTAAAAGACATATATAATTAAACATGCTTTTATATATGCAGTTGCATATACTATCTTATTCTATTTTTCTTATTATTGCATTTTGAACTTCTATTCAATTTATTCAATTATTTTATTATTAAATATTGGTAACATTTTTAATTATACATAATATATGAGAAAGTTTCTAGGAAAATCAGGTTCTGAGAAAATTTTTACTTAAATTAAGAGCTTAATACATTTTAATCTAATAACATCAAAAACTAAAATGCAATAAAAATCTCAATTTTATTAAAAAATTCTCAGAACCTGATTTTCCTAACAATCAACCCATATTATTGTTATTTTAATTATTTATCATATATTATTATCATCATCAATTATATATTATATATTATTTCTTAAAATATTAAACAGTTTATACCTTTTTTTTTATTTATTCTGTAATATAATCATTTTACCAATTCTTTTTTTTATTTTATTTGGTCCTTTTATTTTCTATTTATTTTTATTATTAAATAACAAAATTAAATACTTAAAAGATATTTAACATATCAAAGAGATACAGTCAAACCTTAATATACTAATATAGTTGTTTTAGAAAAAAAGTATCAGTACATCAAATTGTCAATACATTATAAATTTATATATATTATATGTAAATTACATTTATTATAAAATTAGTAATATATTATTACAAAATTAGTATATTTAGTATTATATATTTAAAAACAAAATTATTAGCATATATATTAAACAACTTGAATAAATTGATCTAAACTAGTTTATTTAGGTTTATTGATGTGTAATCTCAAAACTCAATGCCTTAATTTTGTAATAAACTTAATTTATTAAATTAATAGAAATTTCATCTAATGAATATTCAAAAAATAAATCGAGATTTTCCAAATGATTTAGAGCTTTTATTTTTAAAATTACTTTTAAAAGCCTTTATCTAGATTATTTTTTAGTTTATCATTATTTGATTTAATAATAGAAACAATTTTTATTAGTTAATCTTCTATTATCTTATAAATAGTCATTAATATAAAGAAATTCTTCTGCATTTATAGGATTATTAAATGAAAGTTGATCAATTATCAATTCTATCTTATGAAAAAATTTCTGTATGTTACTAATAATTAACAATTATTTGCTGATCTACAAAACTTTAAGTTTTTTTGCTAAAATTAATAGCATCACAAATATTTAAAGGAGTAAGGGCAGTGACATATATTACTTAATATTTTTTGGGGTGTGAGAGTAACTGCGGGGTATTAGAAAATCTTAAGTTATACATACATTTAGGTATTACGTGATATTAGTGGCTTAGATTTTATAGATTATGTAATATCAGTGACTTAGATTTATTAGCATTACTATTGTTACAGTCAGTTCTTTAAGATGCTTATAAGTGATAAGCGTAGCAATGTATATGAGTGGTAAGCAGAAGGTTTAATTTAATATTTAGATTTAGACGAGTGTCAGTAAGTTAACAGTTTATTTAATAACTATAACAATGAAGTACTGCCTCAGTCGGCGCTCTATACTATACAATTGTGTTAGAGGGATTAAACTAAACTATTATATAAAACTATAAATCAGACACACTGCTAAGCTAAAGGAAATTGTCTTCTATTTATATAAAATGAAATGTATAAAGTTATCGAAGATATAAATATAATAAATAAGATATATAAAATAAATAAAA